TTTTAAATGGCAGTGGAGGTTGATTCTGTTGGGTTTGCATTACAACAGCTCAAGTCTTGTCTTTATATTTACTGACCATCAGTTGCATCTGGGTAAGCTTTCTGAGCGTCTCCTGGTCTTGTCGTTCCTGAGCTTGTTCCTTTTTACGATGTAAATCAACCTGGTGTGCCACATAGTCAGTGTAAACACTTCTCATCATGCTGCCCAAACCAACCACCTCTGCCAATTTGGTCCTGACTGGTGGTGGGAGCCCTTCTTGGATCTTTGCCCTGAGAATGGACTGTTCCATACGGTTGAAATCTGGGTCATTTCTGGTAATATTCCTCCAGGCTTGATGAGCTCTCAACACATACGCTCTTGCATTCTCTTGTTCCCCCATTGGTGAGATGATTATATTATCTGGATGAACATTAGCTGGAAATGTTGCTCTCAAAGCCCTCCACAACTGTCCTCTGTATGCTGCAAAAAGTRCTGCGTCATACACCGTTGTTCCAACCTGTCTATGGAGTCCAGCCTTCTGTAACAGCTCCTCCATGGCCGGTACCCCAAGAAGGTTTGCCAGAAGACGTTTAATGTCCCCCATTGTTGGCTGAGTACCAGCAAATGCTTCTTCCAGCTTCGAGATCCATGGCTGTGCACCATCCTGGAGTACTGGCAGTTTTTCTATTATGTCTGACATGTCCGTGTTCTGCCAAGGTTTATATTCGAGATTCTGTCCACGGATTAGGACAGGGGCCATCTTCTTAACGTCTCTCCTTCTAAGGTTGTATCTTCCAGGAAGGCTGCGTTGAACTATTTTTCGTTTTAATTCTTTTTCTTTTATCTTCAGCTGCTGCAATTGTTCTGTCAGCAACCGCTGGTTGTCTTTGCTGGTTGCTTGTTTCAACTCAGCACGGCAGTCATGCTTAATCGCCCTTAGCTCTTCTAGCAGTTGTTCGATGTCCGGCGGTTTAGGCGTTACGGAAATGCCAGCGTCAGAGCCTTGTTGACCGTCAGAGGACTCACAGCTGTCTTCAGTATCTGCCTCGCTGGAGTCGCTGTCTCTAAGATGATCTGCTTTGGCTGTCTTTTGCCCTTTAAGTCAGCCTTCTGCAGGATATGTTTAATACGCTGGGTGTAGCCTCCCTGTGTGTCATCCGATTCACTATGAGTGTTGATTCTGTCAGAAGTGATTCTCTGGGAACCATCTGTTGTCTTTCTCCTCAGAGCTGCATCACTGGTTCTGCACTTTGTGGCCGGATACATTGTGATGGTGGTTTTGGCTTGTCCCGTCTCCAGCACCTGTCGTTCATCATCTTCAACACGATAACATCCTTCCTGATTAATCACTGGGAGTTGTGGGTAGATGTTCTCACGCAGATACGGTGGAGGACAAGCAGGTGGAGCAGTGTGAGAGAAAGGTTCATCCACCTCCGTCTTCAGTTTTTCTGGAGGTGGTGTGTTGGACTTGTTTCCTACTGAAGGCGTCTGTGTAACTTGGAAATCATCGTTACCTTTATAAGCTTGTAGACGTTTCTGGGATTCATCAGAAAAAAGCTTCAAAATACCAAGTTCTAGGGCACGTTTGTCTTTACGTTTCTTTCCGCGCCTACCTTGTGTCTGTTCGGCTTTATAAGCAGTCACTAAAACTTGAATTGTTTCTATGACAGTTGGGTTAAACGTGCCAAATTTCGGCCAGGGTTGCTGAATACACGGCCATCGGTCATGTAACTTTTTTGATACTTTTTCGATTCCTGTAATTAAGGGATGTTTTTGTTTAATGACATCAACCGGAGTAAGTCCGGGTGAAACCTTTGACTCTGTTTTAGGCATGTTATTTTATTACCTATATGCAGTTCTCTGGCAACCACTGGGAACAAAGGGAAACAAAAGAGTGTACACTGTTGCAGAAACAAAATGAAAGAGAGACTTATTTGTAAAAAACAGACAACAGGGCAACTCAGCAGCTGTCAACTTATGAAAGATGCACCAGTCCACTGCTAAATCTCCACATTTACTCATGTGTGTATGAGTTTTACAGCTCTCATGAGAAGTGGGGGCAAAAACTAACGGAAGTCAACAGAATGTCCCCAATCAGATAGCTGTGCAAACTTGAGTGTGCGTGTGTGTGCGAGTATGTCTGTGTGTGTAAGGATGTGTGAGTAAGTGTGAGTGAGTGTGTGTGTCAGCAGGTAAGAATGAGTGTTTGTTTGTGTGTGTATGTGTGCGTATGTGAGCAGCGCAGCTGTGTAAACAAAAGGCAACTGGAGGAGCTAAGAATGTGTGTTTGTGTGTGTGTGTATGTGTGTGTTAAGTTTATCTAAACAGAGAGAGAGATTGATAGTTAAAAACAGACTGGCCTTGAATGTGGCTGGCTCCAGAATCAACGTGAGCTGGCTGACACCCCTTGACCCCTGGCCTCGACAACAAGGTGCAAAACCTCCTACTTTTCCTCTACATACAGGACTCTCGTTCCGTTGGGAGAACAAAGGAAAGAAAAAGAAAGAAATAAAGAGAAAAAAGATAAAAACAAGAACAAAGGTTCAATATTTTGTGTTATTGGAAAGTCATGTCTAAAGTACAAGCATTGTAATGCAATCACAGGTAGGTCTCAGATAAAAGCCTGTTATCATAACACAGGCACACATGAAAAGCCAAAAAATGCACAGAACAGAACAAGATGTCATAGTAAAAATATATATATATATATATATTTTTCTTTTCACGCACACAAATCTCACTGCTGACAGCTTCAGAACCCCACTACCAAGCAGACACACTCAAATAAACACACACACTCCCCACTTTATCGTGAGAGCACAGACCGACATTAAGTGGTATGCATTACTTGTCATGATCTGTGTTTATTTTCTTAGTTTTCTAGTGTTTTCAGTGTTCCCCAGTGTGTCACAGCTCAGCTGCTCCCGATCTGTTTGATTGTCACCCTTGTGTTTCTCCCCAGGTGTGTTCTGTTTAGTGATTAGTAGTCTGTGTATTTAAACCCTGTCCTGTCTCAGTATGATTTCGGATCATTGTGTTTTGTTTGTTGTGCTCTGTACCGTCCCATGTTCGGTCCTCCTTGTGCCTGTTTCTCCGTGAGAAGCTAGTAAGTCTTTTGAGCTGCATCGACAGCCTTTTTGTTTATTAATAAAACCTTTTTATTATCTTTTTGAACCTCTCCTGTGCCCTGGGTCTTTTTGGCACCCACCCTGTCATTACTAATAAACCATAGCAATAAGTACATTAACACTTTCCTTATCCATTTATTTATTTTATTTATTTATTTATTCATTCATTCATTCATTCATTCATTCATTCATTCATTCATTTACTAATGTATTTAATTAGTAATCAGTACCGGTCAGACAAAATACAGAGGCCTGCTCTGCTTTGCCTAAGAAAGACACACACCTCTAACTACACACGGCAGCTGTCCCTACCTCTTTTTTCCTGTTCCTAAAGAGCCTCAGCCAGACCATCAATCACAGCCCGCACGAACCCCCTTCCTACAAGGCTCTGTCTGTCAGGCAAGTTCAGAGCAGGCTGGATTCTATGGAGCTACTCAACATAGTAAAATATAAAAATAACAATAAAATAAAAAATAAACACTGCAGTCTTTTTCCACATGGACAGCCGAGTTGCAAAAAATCCAATCAATCTATTTTCAACATTAACTAAATTTAAAACGGGCTATAAATTAAATGCATACATTTTACTCTTGAGCATATTACTGGAATTTCGTATGGCCATGGAAATCACCACGCGCTGGCTTGGTAACCTGTAAGTCATCAATCATAGCTCTGCAGAACCTCCCTGTCATGAATTCACATCTTTCCGCATGCCTCACTTCATAAATCAAAACAAGAATAAAC